AATTTTAAATTTTAAATTGTATTATATTGCATATCTATTATTGAAAATGGTTGTGATTAATATTTTTTTAATTAATTTTGATTATGTTGCAAAAATTTGTTTGTATAAAATTAGTAATAAATATAATAAAAAAACTTTCTATATTAAAATTTCAAGACGTTAAAATTGTAATTTTATCGACCACTTTATTTTTAATAATATTTTTTAATTTTGAGAATTTTGCAATAAATTCAAATGCTTTTTATTCTTTTTTAAATCTTTTAACAATAAATAAACATTTTGCTGTCATTCAATTTTTAAATTGCCTTTCCCTTTTCATCTAACCTGAATTCCAGTCACGTGCCGAAAGTGAATTAAAGAGACAAAATGTAGTACATCTCTTTGCCACAACGGTCGTTTTCTAATAATACCACGCCGTAGATAAAATTGAGGGAAAATTAAACCGCTCATTACGCTGAATTCACCGAGTCAATCCGGCTCGTTTGGCCATTAGAACACTTTCAAAAGGACAGCGATATTAAAGGGAGCCAAATGGGTTATATTTTTATCATAAAATGTGAAATTGTCTAGAAACTCTTGGTATCTCAGCTAGGAAGTTTTCAATTTATGGATAACTGGCTCCAGTTTTTAAGTAAATTTAATTTAGTTGTTCATTGTAGCAATCTTAAAAAAACTTTTTTAATATATATGGAAAAGTTCAACTTAACTCAAAAATTATCCATGTACTTAATTTTATTATTAACTTCATGATATTGAGACTTTTTTGTATTAATCAAGATGTTTTGTCGAAATGCGTCAACTAACAAACATACTTTGCTTCAGTTTTAATTTTTCTGTCAACAAAAAGAAAAGGAAACATTAGCACTACAAAGGGTGTAACTTGTAGTACACCAGGAAAATTAGCGAAAATAAAAGAGAAACCCAAAAAAAGTCCTATCCGCTAGATTATTGTAAAATTGTCTAAAGGAACATAATACAAGACATCTCTCGTCTCGTGAGTCAAAAACTTTTATTAGCTAACTTTTCTATTTAAACAAATAAGTGAGGAAAACAGTTTTTTCACTTTGCAGGGAAAACCATCAATTTTAGCGAAAAGTGACTCACAGACAGCTTATAGGGAGTAAAATTATCTACAA